CAGAGGGGCGAGGTATGAGAGGAGCGATGGGTGAGAAAGATCAGCTTGGCAGCAGCATTCATCACAAATTGTAGGGGGGCAGTTCGGCTTTTCAAGAGACCAACTAGGAGAGAATTACATTAGTCCATGCTAGAGATTACCAGAGCACGAACAAGCTCCTTGGCAGCATCCTGCGTGAGAAAGAGGCGGATGCGGGCGATGTTTTTAAGGTGGAATCGACAGGTTTTAGCAACATACTGGATATGTGGCACAAAGGTCAGGCCATGATCAAAGATAACACCAAGACAATGAGCTTGCAAGGATGGACAATTACCATCAACTTGCAGGAAAAGCAAAGGAGGAGGATCAGCATTATGCGGGAGGGGAAAAGGAATCTTAGTTTTAGAGAGATTGAGTTTCAGAAAGTGGGGGGACATTCAATCAGAGATTGAAGAAAGGCAAGCAGTGACATGTTGTAGGACCGCAGGGGAAAGATCGGGGAGGAGAGATATATCTGGGTGTCGTCGGCATACAGATGGTAGTGGAATCCAAAGGAGTTAATGAGTTTGCCAAGAGAGACATTATAAAGCAAGAACCGAAGGGGACCAAGCACAGATTCTTGGGGGACTCCAACTGAGACAGGCGAGAGGAGGTTGCGTCTTTGCAAAAGGAGACACTGAACGAACATTGGGAGAGATAGGAGGAGAAACATGAGAGGACAGTGTCACAGAGACTGAGGGGTTGAAGAGTTTGGAAAAGGAGGACATGATCAACAGTGTCAAAAGCAGCAGAGAGGTCAAGAAGAATTAGTATGGAGGTTCTGTTAATTATATAGGAATCTCTGTATAGTACCTAGCTTGGAGTATTGTATGGGCATCTCTAAATTATAACTAGCTCTGAGTATTGTATGGGTAACTCTATATTGAATGGGGACTACCATTAGGCATTGAGCACATTAGGTTAAGCAGATAGATGCCACAGTACAGAAGATGGTGGCTTCAGAGTCAAAATTCTGGGGAAGGATCTTAAAACTTCACCACCCTCCACTGGTATGCCATATTTTTTGGTAAACCAGATCCTTCAAACAGCTAATCAGCAAAGCATATATAACACTATTTTTAAAGTGTGCAGGCACTGTAAAAAGTTCTATTTGTTGCTCAACCAACAAGTCTTGTAATCTAAGCATCTAAGTGACTTTGGCTATGGTTATATACATGGTTCTAGATATGGTGGTTCCAGAAAAAAAAGCCATCCTCTTAGAGTATGCACTAAGTTTCTACAGGTTACCAAAGATGGTGCACTAAATAAAGTGTGACTGGTGAGTGGCAGCTCTGTGGTCATAAGACTCCTTATGAAAATTAGTTCCAAAAGATCTCTGAAACCACTACACATGAAACTTAAAGTCAGAAAGGCTGTAGTATTAGAAAGGTGAAAGTGGTTCCATTTATGCCATCTATGTTGGATGACAAGTCTGGGATGAGCACTGATGCTTTGGTGAATCCCAGGTTCTGCAGGATGCAGGATCAGCATTTAGATTAAACTGCTTTGATCCACAAATCCACACTTCCTTGTGGTAGTGATAAATTATATTGGTGGTGTGAAAAATGATACTAAGTAGGTATACCGAATAAAGTAGTCACCAAGTTAAGTATAAGCCTGAATATATCTTTAAATTATATATATATATTTTTTTGTGAGCAATATTTCCCAGTAAATATTATTGTATGCATTGATTTTGTATGTCTGCAATTATTTTGCTCTTTTAGAAACTTGCACAGGATTTAACTGATAACAAACTGAAAGGTCAATTTAAATATGTCATACTTAATTTTCAGACTTTCAGGGCCTCCTATCCAAAAAAAACACCTAACAGAAAAAAAAGAAACAACATTTTCAACTTGCACTACCTGCCCATTAGGGATGTGCATGGGCAAAAAAATTTGGTTCGGTTTGGAAATTCGGGTTAGTAAAAAAAAATTGTCTGCTTTGGCAATTCGGACCAATGGCATTCGGTTTGGTTTGACACTTCAGAACTGCCAAACTTTGGCACTTCGGAACTTTGGTACTTTGGAACTTCGGTACTTTGGGCATTTGAAAGCATCCAAATGTCCTAATGGCATGAAATTTGTATGACTGTACATTCGGATCACAAATAAATTGCACATGTCTATTGCTCATTTTATTGGACAGGGAATAGTAAAACCGGATTGGGCAAGCAAGCATTATATTGCACAAAACGAGTTAGCTTATTGGTCAAGATTCCAGTCATCATTCATATAATTTTCCCTCCCTCTCTCCTCTTTTGCCACTTTTCATAAATCTGAATCACTTCGGCACTTCAGCACTTTGGAGCTTGGGAGCTTTGGCACTTCTGAACAATCGAATTTCATCACTTCGGAACTTCTGTGCATCAGGACATCTGCACTTTAGACATTCGTAAGCATCCGAATGTCCGAATGGCATTAAATCTGTACGAATGTACATTCGGAATGAAACAAATTGCACATGTCTAGTGCCCACCCTGATCCCTTTTAATTGATAGCATGCTTCTCTAGCTGCTTGCATATGCAGAAAACGCTGGCTCTTTATAAAGGTCATTAGTAGTAATAATAATAATAATAATAATAATTTCAATCCCCAAAGGGACACTCCAGGCACTAACATAACTTTATTGCATTTGATAATTTATATCTGGATTAATATGCTGTTTTTTTTGTAAACAAATAAATGTTTTGCAAAATTATATACCAGATGTTTTTCTCCTAAGGCATGCCCCTTAATACCAGAAATATTTCCTTATCAGTGTATGTGCAAATCACTAGTACATATTTTGTACCAGTGTATTTACTAGTAATACAATACATTCTTAGTTGTAGCTACAACATATTTGGTATGGAAAAAGGATGGTCAAATGTTACTAAATTCAAATTGCTAAATATAAATAATTTTGTATTCATGTGCATAAATGTCTTGAATTGTTTTCCTTAATGTTGAGAAACTGATTCACATTATTGTAACAATTCCCTTGAACTGTTGATGTTTTCATTTACTGAGTAACTCAGATTTGTTATGCATGATAAGCATATTCTGAAGATCACCTTGAGAATATGCTCAAAGAAAAAAAACAATAACAAATCCTGTTTATTATAGATTTTCTGAATATTTAAAGAAAGTGGAACATAAAATGTATGTAAATTAATATAACCTTTGCAGCCTGACCAGTGTTATACAAAATGTAAATAACATGGATATGCCTCATGGGTTAAGTGATAACTACTAAGCTTGTGCAGGGTGAAAAAAAAAGAGTATTTAGTTCATGCCACTCTTTATTTTGGATGAATTTTGGTAATGAAAAGTAATTGGGAATGCCATTCGGACCGCCACAACAGCTGATACAAGGTGACTATAACTGTGCTGACATGAAAAAATATGCTACAATAAAAACTGACTCTGAGGAGCACTTCCTGAGTTGCTTCTTGGTAGGGGGCACCAAGAAGGTTTACCACTTGAACTAGCTGTTGGAGAAGGAGCTGCAATGGCAGTGGAAGCAGTAGCACGAAAATGATTGGAAAAAAAGAATTTCCTCCTTGGTGTTAAATCTGGTGTAGAGGTCATTCTGCTAATCCCACTATCCTGAGTCTGAATTCTATTCAGAGTGGTGGTGGTGGAGGTGGCAAAGGTGTCAGCAGTCCTCATGGTCAAGGTGTTCCAACTCTCATGAGCCATGGCACTACTGCTGATGTTGAATTGAGGAACAGGACCTCTTCCCCTACCCTTCCTCAGTTTAGATTTCAGAGTAGTAGTTGACATTTATTATTGTGGGTTTGTTTTTCTTATCACAATACATTTGGCATAGGAATGATTGTGTACTATGAAAACTATCACGACTTTATTCACCAAAATAGGTGTTTTGGTATCAAAATAATTAGTACTTGCTTGATTTACTGCTGTAACTTTATTTTTTACCAAAGCTAATGGGTATGCGGCAACCTCCCGGAGTGAAATGCCAGAGCTGAAGAAACGCTTGCGCTGTGCTCCTGCATAGTAACAGCGTTTCAGCCAATCAGGTAATCAGGGCGCGGGAATCCTGATTACTTCCGATTTTTAAAATGGCATCATTAATGGAGGACCCCGTATCTGTGTCTGCCACAGATTTAGTGGATTCCTCTCTTAGAAGCAGCCCCATCAATGTTAGAAATTTCCATATGAGAGCTTTCCTTGACAGGGACGTATCCTCTTCATCTTCTGAGGTGGATATGGTCCCAGTTTTACGTAAAAAGAATAAAGAGAGACGGCTGGTCTCTTCTGCCAGTTCCTTGTCTAAGGGAAATTGTTCTGTTCTTCCTTCCCCTCATACTTGTTTGAGAAAACAAAAAATTAAAGGGACAGGATCCCAAAAGAGGAATAGTGTGTTTCCCTCATTTGAGCACCTGAAACATTTTCCAGAGAAAAAGGACAAATCTCATTGGAGGTTAGATAGTCCTTCTCCTTCCTCTTCAAAAGTTTCTACATTCTTCCTCCTAAAGTCATTCCAGTTCTAGACATGGCTCTGAGGAAGTGGTATGTTCAGCAGCTTTCAGTGAGCGAGGGAAACTTAGCAAGGTTCAGATGGCTAGAGTGAGTTTGCTTGGGCTATGTAGCAAGATTCTGAAGTTAGAGATTTTGCCAAACTAGCCTTTAGATCCCCCTTGGTTAAAGAGGGTGACCTTCTCCTCTGGAACCACATTTGTATCCCGGACATCCAGGCTTTAATGACTCCTGAGGTATACCTGCTCTGCTATCTATCACAGGGAGCAGTGTATCTTCTGATCCCACAAACCAGACATTTTGTAATATACAGTTTAAAATTGCTGATGCTGTGGGCCCACTATTACTGATGCAGATAAAGCAGAAAATGAAGGCAATGCTCCGAAACCTTCTGCTTCATTTTTGCTGGCGTCTAAGATGGCTTTATTGAAAGCGTCCGGCTGGGCAGTGCTGATTATTGGCCAATACTTTAATTACATCTTCAACATTTGCAGAACTCGCTTGCTCCACATGGCAGGACTGTCTGACCTAGCCCTTAAATCACATGAGTTCCCAAATTTGGAGGATTCTTACTTTTTCGGTCCTTCGTTTATTCAAGAGGTTAAAGGTCGTTATAAGGCAAGGAGATGCTTTTCAGAGCTCAAAAAGTCCTTTCCTGGCTACAAGAAGACCTTTTGGACAGAGGGTAGCCCCTGTCGGTCTGCAGGTGCATCCCGAGAAGCATCTCATCAGGCCCAGTACCCCCACTACAGTGGAAAACACAAGCTCCCAGGCGGAAGTAGAGGAGCTCATTCCAGAGGAGGTCCAGCTTCCAAGAGAACACCCATGCATTCAAGTAAATGTGCCTCCTCACACGCTACTAAATTGGAAGGATATTTCTTCAGACAAATGGGTTGTAAAGATTTTTCAAAGGGGTTTACAACTTCCCCTTTTAAGATTTCCAGTTTAGAGGTTTGCACCCGGCAGAGAGGTGAACCCAGTGCTAGATGCCTCCCTTTACCTAGATTTAAATCAAGGGAAAATAGAGTTGGCAGACATGTCCATTACAGGATGGGTAAGTCCGTTGTTCCCAATCTCCAAATCAGATGGTTCCTGGAGGCCGGTTCTAAATGTGAGGTCTCTGAACGCTTTCAACAAAAGAAAAAGGTTCAGGATGGAGGGTTTATCAGATCTTCCAGGCTTAGTACAGGAAAAATTTTCTGCAATAGATATAGCCAAGAAAAACGGCATTTCCTCAGGTTTCGGTGGAAAGGAAAGGTGTGGCAGTGGACTGTTATGGTGTTTGGCCTATCCAATGCACCATACACATTCTTTAGAATGATGAAATCTGTGATAGCTCATGTCAGACTAAAAGGTTACATGTGTCTGCACTATCTAGACGAAATCCTGTTCATGCACCCAGATGGGGAAGCCGTTGCTTCTCAAATGGATTATCTTGCTTCCTTTTTACAAGACCTAGGATTTGTAGTGAATTTACAGAAATCAGTCTTAATTTCAACTCAAAGTACTGTATTTCTTGGTTTTGTACTGAACACCAGGACTATGTCACTAGGAATCCCTCAAGACAAATGGGACAAATTATTGGTACATCTGACCTCATCTTTGGTCCTTGGTCCTTGAGAGATCTGGCAAAGATTGTTGGGAAATTTACAGCTTTAACACCAGCCTATGACAATTCCCCTTTACTTTGCAGAAGAATTCAGCTGTTTTTAGGGAATTGATTAAGACAGGGTGGCCATTGGAAATTAAAACGAGCTTGCAGATTCTCTCTCTCACCAGAGTTTGTCTCTGGCAACGATTAAATTAAAGATTGCTCTATTCCAATGGATAGAAAGCAATTTTGGCCGGAGATCAGCAGATCTGTTTGCATCCCAAATTTCTGTACAAACGCCCAGGTTTGTCTCCAGGATTTGGACAAAGGGAGCTTGGAAAATGGATGCACTGTCTTTCCAATGGACAGATGTTCCAACCCCTTATGCCTTTCCCCCTCCATCTTTACTAATGATAGTGCTGAAGAAGGTCCGCAGGGACAGGTTACGGAGATTAGTTCTCGTTTACCCAGTATGGACCTCCCGACCCTGGTACCACTTGATCCATCATTTAGTCAAGGGAACCAAGATCCCATTGGGCATTATTGTGCATTGTTTTCAGAAAACTAGCAATCTTTTGCTCAAGCTTCCGCAGCTGATTTGGATCGCAGCCCTTTAAGACACAGTACTAGGGTAAGATATAGAAAGATGATCGAAGAATTCAAAGAATTTGAGGTTTCTTTTCTATCTACATCTCAGGGATCTGATACCATTCCATTGGCTTTAGAATTTCTTACCCTTAAGTTCCATTCTGGTGTATCGGTCAGTACCATCAAGACCTATGGATCTGCTTAAATTTCTTATCCCTAACCATACTGAGGATGCCCTATGTTTGAGATTACTAAAAGGGTTACCAGTCTGCTGCCCATACACTCCATGTTACATATCTACTTAGGATGTAGACCTGTCCCTTAAATTTCCTTATTTCTATGGATAATGCTAAAATTGATTTAAGATGGACTGCTATTAAGTTTGCTTCTCTGCTGTCTTTGGCCTTGGCAGCTAGAGGAGATAAGTTAACTCAAATCCATAGTTCAGAACCATGGTTTTCCCGGACACCTTTATACTAAAAAGGAGACAAAAAACATCCCATATTTCTCCAAGTCCAGTTGAATTGGATTTGGTTCAAGATTCTTTTGAACCAGGCTTATGTTTAGTCAGTTTTTTACAATCATATCTTGACCTTTCTGCTGCTCAAAGGCCACTCTATTATGGGCGCCTCGGCTACTAAAGCAGTAGTCTTCCCCTCCCTATTATCTTTAAAAACTGCAAGGTGGTTGTCCAGTAATAACCTTTCTTAGATTTTACTGGAGGCCATCAGAAGTTGAACACCTTCAGCTTCTTAGGACCATTACCAGATGTGTGCTATTCTACCCACTAGCTTTGCTAGGTGGTTATGCCTCCCGGAGGACAAATTAGAGTTTGCAGGAATCTATGATCTGCAAACTTTCTTTGTCTTAGGGATGAGCATAATCACCTAGCAATAGCACTCGTCGCACCATTCCCTCAAATAAGATTATCTTGTGGTTATTCAGCCTATTTCTATCTGTTTTCTTTTTTTTACAGACTATAACCATACTCCAAGACAAGACTTGTCACAACATTTCATTTTTCTTTACAGAACTTATTTTGATGCAATTTAGAATGTTCCAGTTTCAGAGTCTATTTGATTCTTTCTTAAGCTTATACATTGTTGTCTTGTTATCTATTTAGCTTTGTGCATTATACAAATGTTTTCAAGTCCATCTCATATGTCTTTACAACTTATTAAATATTTCCTTGTTCCCCTTTACTATTGGGTCCTTGAATTATTTTTCTGTTTAGATGTTTAATTAAGTTTCTCTACCCTTTGGGTAATATGTATTCTCAGTGCTTCCTGGGATGAGCTAACCATCCACAGTTTTACAATTTTAAAGTTCTGAGGTAATCAGGATCCCGCGCTCAGCGTGGCTCTCTTGATAACCCGATTGGCTGAAATGCTGTTTTCAGCTCTGACATTTGACTCCAGGAGGCTGCTGCATACCCATTAGCTTTGCTAGGTGGTTATGCTCATCCCTAAGACAAAGAAAGTTTGCAGATCATAGATTCCTGCAAACTCTGATGTGTTTGATGTTTGGAATCTAGGATCAATGACCCAGGCTAGGCAAAATTATTATTTTTTCTTTTCTAATATATTTAATTGAATTTTGTAACACATTTTTAGGGAAAAAAACAATATGGGAAATCGAAAATGACAAAAAAAGGTAAAACTGGGGCAAGCACATACCCTATTTGCAATCAAGTATACAAGGTTACATAGAATACCTATTTGACATAAAACAGAATAATATGTATAAAAAAAACTAAAATATAGTCATTTACATAAACATATAATGTATATCGTCATTAAACTTAACATTCCATGCCCCCATATCAGAAATAGCCAACACATGAATCCTGACTGGGGAGGGTGATTTTTTTTCTCTAACACCAAATAAGGATGTTTTCCCCTCGAAACTGTTAACAACAAAACTTTATATTGATAAGCTAGTCTCACACTAGGATGATGCTAGCCAGGTGCCAATCCCTTATGTCCCACTAACCATTTTCTCTGGTGCTCCTGGCAGTACTAGCTGCATAAAGCTAAGGCCAGTCTTACACTAGAAATTGCTCTGATTGGCCAAATTGCAGATCAGTACAAAAACAGATCTCCAAGTCAACTACAGGCTTTTTCTATATTCATGCATAATGTGAAATACAGTAAATTCAGTTGCCAGATTAAAATAGGCAATATATTTCAAAGGGCATTGAAAGTAATTTCATCTGCACAAACAATCTTAATATGTGATTAGAACCAGGGCTTCCATCAGGAGGGTTCAGTTCAAGTATCCCTGCAAGGAAGGGAGCAGGGATAAAGGGAAAAAATGGAGCAGACCTCCTTGTGTTCCAAAGCAATACTGATCTGGGTGAGGAAATAGGAGATATCTCCTCTAACCAGACAATTTGTAAAAGTTCACAACAAAGCAAGAGGACATCAGATCATTTTCTTCTTGGCTTTGTATATAATGGAAGAGCAAATTAAGCTAAGTGTTTTAACTTATTCTGATAAGGAACCCAAACTCCTTCTACAAAAAGGTAGGCAAACAGAAGCATGACTGAAATCATTATGCATATACTTAGACTATAATTTGCATGTGTGTACTTATTTGTCTAGAAGTGTGTGTGCATGTGTTTATGTGTGTTTGTCTAGAAGTAGGTGTGTGTATGTCTCTTGGAATGTAATTGTTTGTATATTTGGCACTGTGTGTGTGTGTGTGTGTGTGTATGTGTGTGTGTGTGTTTGTGGGTCTGGCAGAATGTATCTGTCTGTGTGCATATGTGTTAGTTTAGAAATGGGTTTCAAAACTTTTTTTGAATTTGACAAATTCCTTATATTTTTTTTTCTTTTTTATATTTGCTTCTGCAAACGCCAAGCTTCGTGCATTACCCTTACAATGTAAAACAGAAAAAAAAAAATTCTTATTTGTTTCACATTTTAGCTTTCCGCAGATCTTCTCCTTTAAGCAATATTTGAACCAAGACTTTTATCTCAACACAGCCCTGTAGCATGGTGCTTAAATTGATATTCTCTCTTAGGTGCAGAGAATGCTTAACTATGCAATTATCTCCTTTAAACAAATGTGATAATACTTACAGGAAAGCATAAGCCGGATATTAAGTTATACAAACAGGAATTTCAGTGATATCAGCAATTCCCCGGCATCCTTTTAAATTGATTTTTTTTTCAAGTTAGTATGGATAGAGAGATGTAAATAAATCTTTAGTATATTTATATAATGTTCGGGACATGGATTAATCTATCTTGAGTAAATATTGTAAGACATAATGTATAACTTTATAAATGATAATAAAATGTGAAAACATATCCAGCGTCATAATTATTATTAATATTATTGCTGGTATGGATGCTTTATGTACTACAGCCATAAGTATAATAGGAGTTTTCACAAATTAGACAGCTTGAGTGTTGTGAAGAATAATATTACTTAGTTAATATTGCCGCTATTATAATAAAAAAGAAGCAATGATTTTTAATCTCTGTCTTTATTTTCCTATTTTTTTCTTCTTTTTTTTCTGTTCATGCACTGGGCATAAAAAAACTCAGCTTGTGCTCACCCGATTCTATTCTTAAAACCATTGTTTTGTGTTTGTGATGACAGTTTTTAGGGTCATCATTGACCTTTGCTCCAAAAGAAAATTAGGGTCATGATTACTGCTTATCTCTCATTATCTAATGTATGTACTTTCTGAACACTGCTGCTACAGTAGCAGGAGATTATTGGACGGCTATAAAATAAAAACACACTTTAGGGCTGCATTTGAAATTACGGAGCCCTGAACTATGCATTTTTCAAATGTCTGGGGAATTTTTATTTTTCATTCCTTACCGAACATGCATCGAGGGGTTAAGGAGTAACTCAACTTCCTCATGTAAATAGTAAGGTGACACAGAAAGACATAGGAGCGTAAGTGTTGTTATTTTAATTTATTTATGTTTTAAAGGAAATAAGTACAATGTTCTGTTCTCTCTGCTGTGGTATGAAAGGGGTAATTGGAAAAATGCTATTCACGCCATTAACATTCACTAGTGTTTGATTTACTCTCATGACGCTTGCCAAGTGATATCATTACTCCGTAATACATAAGAGGGATGGACACTAGGCAATACAATTACAAAGATAACTCCTCTTAGCCTCATAACAGGCCATCCCCTTGGCTGTAATATGAAATGAAGCCCTTTCACTGCCATTACACCAAATAGGAGCAGTAAATGACCAGTACTTAAAAAGTTAAAATATATCCACCCACTCATGTTTAGGGATTGTCTCAACCCACTCAAAATCCTCCCCACCTCGAAAAAAAAAGGAAAGGACCCTACCCAACCTCATTTATTTATTAGTATTACCTAATAAAAATAGGAAGTTAAATGTTTTTGAATATTAACATGTTGCTTAA